AACAAAAAATGTCTTTTAGCAAAGACATTATTTGTCGCCACCGAATGTTGTACTTTTTAGTTGCGACCACATGCAGTTGCCGCAGAAAGTCCTACATTTGGCGGCAACTTTAATGTTGCCACTAAAAAGTCCCACTTTCGGCAATGACAATAAAAGTCATCGCTAAAAGTTATACTTTCAGCGGCAACTTTTTCTACAGCCACCGAAAGTCGTCCCTGAAAGTGATTTTTTTTGTAGTGAAAAGACAAGGATAAGGATCTAAATATTTAAATCATGATAGGATAAGGTTTAGGATACAAGGAAAAAAGGATTAGTCTTGAGTGAGGACACAAAAAAAAAAATCCCGCTCATGACTTATATGTGACTTGAGCTATGACATGATAACCTAGGAAATGAAGGCTGGACATTTAACCCTTAAACTATTCAAAACTCAGTCCTTAGACGAAATAGAGATTTTGGAATTTGGTGAAAACTGCCACCTCCCTAGTAGCCACCATAGCCGACCAGAGTGAATAACTATCAAGCTTTGAGATATATAAAATGACTATAGCAACCAAGTGAACAACAACAATTGACTAGTAAATAACCATACAATCTAAGCTGGTGACCGCTATTTACACAAACACTATTATAATCATGAATGACTATAACAATATAATGAAAAATAACAATTAATTAGCAAAAAAACCCATATGACCATACTCATCTAAGCGAGTGGCTGCCATTGTCAAATCTTTTGTGCTGCCACTGCTTAAGCCTCAAGGTGAGAGGAATTTTCCCTTCGAATGTCCCGTTATTTTTACACCACCATTATTTTTCCACCACCATAACAACCAATGAGATTTTGTTTCAGTCACTCTTGAAGATCCATCCTAAAAAAGTGACTATGCCCATTGAACAATTTTTTGTCGCAATCACGGGGATTCATCATATTGTTTGTCACTTTCCATGCGCCAGGTGCATCAAACATCTATGGGGCATCCTAGTTAACATCGTTGTGGTAATCATCTTCAACGATAGCATTATACACTAATTTCAAATTGAAGTTTCTCACTGCAGTCCCATTTTCATTTGAGCCATTTATAGGTTGCCCAATTTTTACGTTCCCAAAGTTGACTTGATCCTTGTCCCCATTAAGACTTTGCCCAAATTACTTTCACCCACAATGTATCTCCTTTACAAGGTTTTATTCTAACTGAGCTTTATCAAGAACACTTGGTTTTGATCCTTAGGCCAAGGTTTTAGATATGTTTACCTTCATGCCTGAGCACTTGCAAAATGTGGTCATGGTCACACATTCATTTATAACATTAACTTTGTGCATAGAAGCCACTACAAATAGAGTAATATTATCAACAAAAGGCCTAAAGCACATTTTTGGCATTGGCATACATGTTTATTTCTAGTTTATTTTGTGTTTTTAATTAGGAATTTTATATTATTTTAGATATATGAATTTTCAAATAGGCATTTCAAGAATATTTTGTGTTTTTGATCCATTGATACTCTACCCAAATTACTTTCAACCACAATGTCTTATGCGGATCTGGAAACAAATTCTTATAGGATTTTAGGATTTTAGCAAATAATATTTTATGTAGTTTGAGTGTTTACTTAGTATTTCCTCATTTTGAACTTTCTTGTGCATTTTTATGTCTTTTACGCAAGCTTTTATGTCTTTCACATAGGTTTCCAAAAGGCCCCCTTGTGACCTTCTAGAAGGGGCAAACATGGTGCTTTATGGGATAATACATACCTTAAGAATGAAGTGCTAACCATTATGCTAAAAGTTTAACTTTACAGCATAGCTTTGGAGTGTGGATCTTATTATGCAAGAGTCTTGTCACCTTATTGTAAAGCTTTTCTTGATGTAAACAAATTCTAAGGCTTAGCTCATATTATGCATTTTTATGTTTTTTAAAAGGCCCCTTGTGACCCAGTCTTGTCAACTCATTGTGAAGCTTTTCTTGATCTAAACAAATTCTAAGGCTTAGCTCATATTATGCATTTTTATGTTTGTTAAAAGGCCCCTTGGGACCTACTAGAAGGGTCGAACCTGATGCTTTATGGGATAATAGACCTTAAGAAGGTAATGCTAACCATTACGCTAAAAGTTTAAGTTTGTAGCAGAGGTTTGGGTTGTAGATCTTAATACACACCTTACAAGGCAAAACTCACCACCTGAGAAATTATAAATATTATGCCAAAAGAAATTATAAATATCATGCCAAAAGCCAAAGTCATAATAGTTAAGGAAATTAGGGTGTTATGTTAATAGTGAGGACTTCTAGTTGTAAAAGCCTTATCAAATTATTGTAAACTTTAGGGTTTCAGGATGGGTTAGCTTTTCAATTACAAGAATCTTGTCAGCTTGTCAACTTATTGTAAATTTTAAGGTTTCAGCTGATAATATTTTATGTGTTTTCAGTCTTTACTTATTTCATATTTTCTTAGAGTTAGTTATTTTTCAAGGTACGGAATAAGAATAATGTATCATTGATAGAATACTTTTAAATTGCAAGATTTAGATTAACAAGTCTTCTAGGCTTCAAGAGAATGAACTCATTGTGAAGCTTTGTTTAGCTAAGGTAAAAAACAAATTCTAGCTTAGTTGATCAAATTCTGCATTTTCTAGGGCATTCTAAGAATACTTCTAGGTTTCAAGAGAATAAACTCATTGTGAAGCCTATTTTGAGCTAAGATAAAAACAAATTCTAGCTTAGTTACTAATCAATCATATTATGCATTTCCTAGGGCATCCTACGGCATTTTTATGTCTTTTACACAGGTTTCTAAAAAGTCCTCTTGTTTGACTTCTTAAAAGGGGTGAACATGATATGCAATTTGTAATCTTAAGAATGAAACACTAACCACCATGTCAAAATCTTAAACTGATAGCAGAGGCGCACTATAACGGATTAGTGTGGTTAAACCTTGATTTAAGTTTAAAGGTTCATAGTGTTGGTTAAGATTAATTGAGGCTTAGCAACACTAAAGATGATGATTGACGGTAATATTTCTAGATGTTTTATAGTAGTATTAGGATTTGAGAATTTTAAATGGTTAAAAAAAAATTATGTCTTTTACACAGGTTTCTAAAAGATCTTCTTATTTGACTTCTTAAAAGGGGCATACATAATATGCAATTTGTAATCTTATGAATGAAACACTAAACACCATGTCAAAAGTTTAAACTAATAGTAGCCTTGATTTTATGTTCAAAGGTTAGTAGTGTTTATTGACCGTCATATTTCTAGACATTTTCTGTTTTGAAAAATACACACATCATTCTTTTTAAAGAATCCTAATTTACAAATTCTAGAAATGTATGAAATTAAATTAATTATGAATATTTGAAGTTAGGCCCCCTTACTACCTACAAACCTTTTGGAGTAGTCTTTAGTAAATTATCCTTTTTAAGAGTCAAATTATTCCTCACTTCTTGTATGTGCTAAATATCATGTGATGGCTTCCATTACCTGTGAAGTTCAATGGCTTTTGTATCTTCTTAAACTTCAATATATCTCATCTTGATCTAGCTCTCCTTTATTGTGACAATTAGTTTGCAATGCAAATTGTAACAAACCCTACTTTCCATGAAACAACCAAAACATACAGAGTTGGATTGTCATTTGGTTTGAGAAAAAGCTTCAAGCAAAGATCATACATTTGCTTCCTGTCAGATCCTCTAATCAACTTGCAGTTGTGTTCACTAAGCCATTACATCCTTTAAGATTTTATGAACTCATATCCAAGCTGGGCATGAAAAATATTCATGCTCTAGCTTGTGGGGGGTTGTCAAGGATAAAATAACATTCTTATCATTTAAGTTAGATCTGTTATGTATTTCTGTTAGACATTAGTTATAGTCAGTTATGTACACAGTGTATAAATATTACTCTCATATGAATGAAATATAATGCAAGTAATCATTTTCCCCAGATTATTTTTGTATCAGATTGAAAGATACTAAGATTATAAACTGAATTTTTTTAATTTTAATACATTAGAGATGATAGCAAAATCATCTGATCAATAAAGCTCACTTTGATAGACATTAAATAAACAAGAAAAAAAGAACATGTATTTTTTTTTGGCCAACAAGTAACATAGAATTTTAAAACATCAAGGTTGCCCGCAAATACGGGGAGTTTTGCATATTAATGACAAAAGTAATGACAAAAAAAGATTCAATGTTAAAAATTAAAATAGATTGAATTTCAATTTCAAATTGTTGGGGATTGATTCAAAATTTATAGAAGTATTATATATTTTAGCAAATAAATTTTTTTTTTTTTTACAATCCACCAACCTTCTGTGAAGCTGCTCTTTGGCCCCTCACACATCAAGGGCATTGAATTGCTTCATTTATTCTAACCATTTTAAAACTTTTTAAGTCAAATACCTGAATTAAGGAAAAAAAAAATCCACAAAAAAATAATAATAATGACAAAGTTGTCTGCTGTTATCTCTTCAAGGGAATCATAGCAACTAAAAACCAAACTCAACCACAAAAAATGCTATGAATAATATCATACCCCAGCAGCACAAGGTTTGAAGATATACTCCTCCGGTCCTTAATATAAGACCCATTTAACTAATTTGATTAGATTAAGGAAGTTAGGTAAATTAGTTAATTATAAGAAAAGTGACACATTTTCCCTAAAACACCACAATCATCTTTTTTAATACCCCTCTCCCTCTTCTACTTGGTTATAGTTGAGAGAATATCCATAGGGGTAATTTAGAGAAAATTGATAAATATGAAAAGTGGGTCTTATATTTAGGACCAAAACCAACTCAAGAATTGGGTCGTATATTAAGAACCGGAGGAGTAAATGCATATCATTTATTAAAAACCATTTCCTACAAATGGGACAAAATTTGCTCCTGTTATTCTTTTTAGAGCCTTACAAATAAAGCCAATGTTATATTAAGGGATAAAAGAGAACCTTTTGTAAAACAAAGTAGCAACTTAAAACAACTTCCTCCTGGCCAGCTCAACAACCATGCTCAGCCAACTCATAAACCAACCAGGGATTAATAGCCTGACGGCCTCCCAGTTCCATTGGAATCTGAATTAGCATGAAGTGGCGATTGAACCTCCCCAGAGTGAGAAGACCTTCTAGAACTGCTTGCAGAACCTGTTGATGAAGTCGGCATTCAACTAATATTAGGTTGACCAGTTGGTTTACACAAACTGTAACCCCTTTTAACTGTTTCAGCTCTCAGAGGTAGTCTATTCAACTGCTACTAAGAGGAAATACAGCTATCAGGAGCCAACCATATTTCATTACTCCAAATTTTGTTCTCCTAAAAGTTAGTGGACTTAAAAATAATAACAGAGACAGAATGGAAACATAATTAAGAGTACCCAATCAAGCAAATGAACACGATGTATCATGATTATCACAAGAACATCAGAAAAACAATCTCAATTAGAGGAGAACCTAACTTGGCATATAACAGAATGGAAATCCAATTAGATGGCATTGCTAGTTAAAATAAGACTACTAACTACCCATACTAAAAGCCTGTTGATAAATTTGGAGCATTTCTCGACAATGCCTTCTTGCAACATCTCTTCAAACAGGTTCTCTCTCAATGGCAAAATGCAGAACACAGTCAACAGGACAACTTCAGATAATCCTTGAAGGATTATATGAAGACAAAACTTCAGATGATCCTTGAAGACTTACATGAATTTAGAGGGCTAAGGTCACAGTAAATCACCTATAAAGCTTTTAAATAAAAACGTTGTGTAGGTTTCGTTTTGTATTGTTTACCTACGTATGGTTCAGTATTGTCAGAATTGAATAGCTTTGAAAATTCAGGAACACAAACACTTAATAGTTCCAACAGATTGGACATAAGGAATATAGTTAATATTTAAAAGGTTTAAAGAAGAAAAAGCATACACAAACACATTACATCATGGATGAAAATATTGGTTGAAGTCATCTATTCTAAGTACACAAAAAATGCCGCTTGGTAGCCATTAGAATGAGACAAAAGAAGTACCTAATAGATTTCAAATGTATTTATTATACACCCACCATTTTCCATAATTCATAGGTAAGATGATATCCATCATATCCATCACATATTTTTACCAGCCACTTACTCTGATCCTTACCATCCCTATGGTATGAATGCAACTGACCAACCAATCTATATTATCATCACAGTATCAAAGTTTATAAACATGAAATTTGCAAAGTTTAGTAGAAGGACATGAAATACCAAGAAGTGCATAGTTGTTTGGGTACGAAGTCCTCAAATTCCTTCTAACAATGTCGTAACATGATCTCAAAAGAAACTTCATGGGTGTAATCTCAATAGCTTCTGCCTCTGAACTGCTCTCAGATGACCTCAAGATAGGAGGGGGCTACATGGACCCAAGCACATTAGGCAAATTTATGTGCAAGCAACATTTGATTCAATTAACAAATTAGTAGATATACCTCTCTTAAATGGATCATAGAAAAGGACTGTGCCTAAAATATGACCTGTCTTGCTTACATCTTGGGGTCAAATTCAAAATTAAAACCAAGGATTGTACTATAGGCACAACCTTGGGTCGTTTCACTTGTTGGAGCCTTAACTATTGATCCTAAGTTAACTAAATGCCATGAAAATGCAAATTGACTAGGGAAGAGTTGGGGGATTTCATTAAAACTATTAATTGAGTAAAATGCAATGTAAATATATGTTTGGATTTTTGGGAAATTAGGATGGAATGGATGGGAAACAAGTGTTGAAACAGTTGATAAAACCTCTTGAAAATGGACCTTTGGCAATCATAGTTCAAAATGATTTTGGGAGTAAAAATCACCAAGTTTTCTAAAGAAAAAACCTTAAAGAACCCTTTAAGTCTAGGATCTTAATCAATGGCCACCCATCTTATAAGATCCTATTAAGCTCACTTAGTGTGTGTATTAAGATTAATTAATGCACTTGGTTTAATGTAAGCCTAGATTAACTCAACAATCAAACAACACCATGCGAGAAAGAGAGTATCAAAAGAGTCGTATTGAAGCTCAAATTCAACATTAACTAATCCAATACACAAGATAATCATCCAGAATTGATTACAACCATAATCAAAACAGTTCAACCCCAATTTACAAATCCTAAGACCTAGAAATTCATAAATAAACAACTAGAACTATGGATGAAGCTAACTCCCCTTTGAAGCTCTTAGAACTCATGCCAATCAACCATTTTCAAGAGTTGAAGAACCCCTAGCCCTCCATAGCTCCAAGCATTGCTCCAACCAACAACAACAGTCGAATCTCCATGGAAGAAGAGGTTATGGATGGATTAAAGGGAAAGATGATAGAATGTAATGAAGAATTGATGGAAGGAGGAGATGAGAGGATGATTCGACCAAAGAAAGGTGAGGAGAGACTGAATGAGGCTTCCTTAGGTTGAAACTCAGCTTATACTAGCTACTAGAGGTGGTTTTGGGTCGGGTTGAAGCTTAGGGATCCGAATCAAAATCCTGAAATCGCGACTTCCGCAATTCTGACAAATCCGCCAAAGTAGATGGTACTTTTCAGCCAAAACGCAAAGCTTCATTTACTCAAGGCCTCTGGTGTAATTTCTTGAATTCTGGGGCCCTTTTCTGTGATTAATTCGATCTTTTACTACCTTTAATGTTGGGACTAAAGTGTAATTTTCAAATTTACCCAAATTTCTCCCAAAGTACCTACAAGGAAAATCATACATAATGTAGCATTAATTATCCTGGAAATCAATTAATAATAATTAATCTCCAGTTATGACAATTTTGCCCCTATTATGCACTAATTCAAGGTAAGGCACTTTAATATAAATTAAGCACAATAAACACTAAAAGAGCTACTAACTATGATAAAAACCCTTAAAGTGATATGAAAAGACAATGAAGAATTGGGTTCAATCAGTGCCATCACGTGAACTGTTTCACTATGTCCTCTACTAGCTGTACTATCTATTGCAGATTCACGGTTATCACCACCAAAAATGGATGATATAACCCAACTTGATTTACCAAAGGTTCTTGGAAAAGAAAAGGGAGCATCAGAAATTTATATAATGCCAATACTTACTGGTGAATCCAACGAACATGCTAGGTATTTAATAATCAAAAAATAATATGAATGAAGAAATATCACCAATCCACAAAAGACTCAAACTTTGAAATGGTAAAAAAGGATTACTAGAGGATGCAGCCCTTTCAACATCCAATGCAGGACGAACAACCTGTCAATAATTAGTTTCATACTAAGCAAGTAATAACTACGAGATGTTAATTAAGTGAAAGTGAAAATTACAGCCTAACCTATGATTTGATGCAAAACAAACTGACCACCTGTGGTTCATAATGCATCATTCAATTTGTTATCACTGAGCTGCCTCAGTAGTTCTCATCTATTTTTTAACAAAAATAATTATGCAAGTATTAAAACAGTAAGTTCTCACCCTTCCTTTCTGTCTTCCTTTCCAAAAAAGAGGAAATTAAGAGCAAAAGCACATAGAAAGAAAGCATCTCCGGCTAAAAGAGTGGAAGGTAGATCAGAAAAAATGAACCATTTTATTGCTAGAAGTTTGTTCTCTCATGGCTTAAAACATTTCATGGTGTTTGGAGACTGTTATTGAAGTTAAGCCTGTAGTTTTTGTTTCCACTCTTAATCCAAAGGAATGGGCTCCAATGATTATAAGATCGTTCAGGGTGTAAGTAAAACATACCTTCACCAATGAAATAGGTAATCATCTTAGACAATTTTTAATAGGACTAGAAAAGGGTAGGTGGCAATTAAACAAATCATAAAGAGTTAATGAAAGAAATGAGAGATTAAATTTTTGTTCTCTTTTTTATCCACAGGGGTGATTATTTTTAACCAATTCACAAAGTGTAAAATGTAGTTTATGCTTTGGTAAATATCTTGAATCCTTAAAGCTAAAGGAATAAACTATTTGTGGATGGAAAATATATACTCTAATTGAATACTTCTAAGATATTTAAACACATTATCCTATTAGAAATTAAAAAACATTAAAAGACTTGATATAACTTTGCAACTTTTTATGGTCCTGTTTGTCTTCATGTATATTAGATTGGAATGTGATAAATCTTCTTTTTCAAATTAGATAGGTCCATAAAATTGTATATTATAAATATTTGGTGATTGAGTTTCATCCATCATGGTTGTATGAATTAGTCTTGACCTCACATAATTCTTCTATTTGAAATGAGATAGCTGCAAAAAAGATTAGATATTCCATGCTAAAAAAATCTTTAAAAAAATCAAAGCTGGTAAGAAATTTGACAATATAACTAAAATTTATTTTTAATAGTATAATGATGTGGCAAATTATGAGCTCTCATATTAACCTCAACAGCTACCATTTGGATGATAAGAGAAAGTATAAGAGAGAGAATAAGAAAATTATTAAAAACAACTATGAAAATGGGAGAATGTGTGATGAAGAGATGAATGAATGATACTTTAAAAAAAATGAGAAAATAAATATATTGAGTATTAAACTAATTAATAGGGGGAAGACAAAAAATTAGCCAATAAAGTTTGAGACATTATGCGAACGTTTTTTATAAATGGGGACAAGTGGTGGTTGTTTAAGGGACGGAGGGAAATACATGATTTCCTCCGACAAAAACAAAATGGGGGAAGTGATTTCCTATTTTTCGTGAAACACTGAACAATTTTCAGTTGTAAGGACATGATTGGTTGATTTTAGGTCATTGAGGTGTTCAGTTTTCAGTTGTATTGTTTGGGGAGGCCAAAAAAATTGTATGCTTGTGATTTTTTGTTTTCTTTTCATGAAACAAAACACAAATAGTTGGGTCTTGTGGTACTAAACACCTTCTTCAAAACCTTTTTAAATGTAAAATTGTGAGTTTGAACCTTTTATGAGGGATATAAGAATTTCACAAGGAAAAGAATCACGCATTAATGTTAGATGTACAAAACAAATTTAACAAGAGAGAACAACATAATTGGTATATAGGTGTTGCCAAAAACAATAATCCTTTTTCTTCAAAAGAAGAAAAAAGGATTAAATGCAATTCAAATAGCTAAATACAATTGTAATGAACAAAATATAAGAAAAAGGAAAATGACTCAAAACATAAAAATGTAAAGACTTCATATATTAATATAACAAGCACGTAAATCATTGCTTTTTTAACATACCACATGTTTCATAGACAAAATAGAGCAAAGGACAAAGGAAACAGTAACTAAATCCTTCATACAAAGATTATTAAACTAGCAGTGCATCTCTAACATTTTATGTAAATATGACCTTATCTTTTTCAAAGAGACCACAACATCAGTCATCATAATTCGTGCTTCTGGTGATTCAGTGCAACAACTTAATGCTAACTCAAAAATTGATGATATATGTGGTAATATATTGTTGATATTTGGATTCCCTTCATGCAGCAAATTGACATCAAGAATATCGATGATTGAATGTGGTATTGATTTGCTAACCCAATCTTTCAAATCAAGACCTTCAACAAACATTTTATCAGTTGGCTTCTTCCTTGTAAACATCTCCATTAGCATGATACCATAGCCATACACATCTGCTTTGAAAGAAACTACTCCTTTTGAGCCATACTCTATATGTCAAAAGAGAATATAAGGTTTGCTGTTAAACTTTTCTTTTATATAGCTAATAAAAATCTTTGCATATAGGAATGGAAAATATGTTTCCATATCAATGATTGAATAATATAAAATTTTGCATAGAATAACAAAAAAACAACATAATTGAACTAAAATATTATTATTAAACTATTACCTGGTGCCATATAGCCAACTGTAGCCAATGTTTTTGTATGAGTTTCCAACTGTCCTTCATCTAATAGTTTAGCTATACCAAAATCACTAAGATGAGCCACCATATCTTCATCCAACAAAATATTGCTTGGTTTTATGTCACAATGAACAATCGGAGTAGAAGTACCATGATGAAGATACTCTAATGCAGCAGCCACATCAACCATTATATTCAATCTCTGCAAGATATCTAAACAATAGTTATGATAGTACAACCATCTATCAAGACTTCCATTTGACATGAATTCCATGATTAGAGACTTGAAATCATCATTTGAGCAACTACTAATGATCTTAATGAGATTACGATGGCGAAAATTACGCATAGCAACACATTCAATATCAAAACTTCTCAATGCTTCTTCCATGTCTATGTTAAACACTTTGACAGCAACTATCTTTTCATTTGGAAGAATTGCTTTGTACACTGATCCAAAACTTCCAAAGCCAAGAAGATTCCTCTCATCAAATCCATTTGTTCCCTGTAAAAGCTCATAATAAGATATCCTAGTTGGTGCATCCAAATTTGTTAAATCCCTATTGGTTGCATAGTTAGCGTCGTCTCTATTATGCTTTAGAAAGACAATGCCTGTAACAAGCAAAATGACAACCATGATAGGCACTAAGCATTTTATCGCCAACATCACTTTATTTGTTATGGGCTTGTTTCCTTTCCTACATGGTTGGACGTGTAGGTGGGATTTCCCGCAAAGACCTTTATTCATCATAAAAGATTGAGCAGTGAGATTTTGAAAAGGACCACCATTTGGAATTTCTCCATCCAATAAATTGTAGGAAAGATTAATAGATTTAAGATAGTGCAGTGACTCTAAGGACTTTGGAATCACACCAGACAAATAATTATGAGAAAGATCTATTGACTCAATACTGACCATGTCACTTAGTGATTCAAGTATAGGCCCTTGTAATTTGTTGTGAGCCAAAGATAAGTTTTGCAAAGTCTGCAACCCACCCATTGTTGTAGGGATGCTTCCTGAAATTTGGTTTCTTGACAAATCCAATAGTATAATTGCTCTCAAGTTTGATACCTCTGCTGAAATTATTCCACTCAATGCATTGGAGGATATATCTAAAACCAATAAATCTTTGAGACTCCAAAGAGAAGAGGGTATATGAGAAACAAATTTGTTAGAGCTAAAATTCAACTTTTGCAAAGAAGTATTCCCAAGACATCCCGAAATTGCTCCCAAAAACATGTTGTTGGCAAGATTCAACTCACTTAGACTTTTGAGTTGGCAAAAGTTATTTATAATGGAACCTTGTAATTTGTTGTTGCTCAGGCTTAAACGTTGAAGGCTCCGTAATTTATCAAATGTATATGGAATCAAACCAGTCAATTCATTCCCATCCAAAGCTAAGTCAATCAAGCTTGTTAAATTTCCAATTACATTGGGTATAGCTTTGGTAAGTTTATTCAATGACAAGTGTAACACAATGAGCTTAGAAGCATTTGATATGCTGTTTGGAATTTGTCCAGTTAGTTCATTCCCATCCAACCCTAACTTCTCCAAATTGGGAAGGCCATTTCCTAAATGTGATGGGAGAACGCCAGAGAGGGAGTTGCTGCCAAGGTTTAAAAATGTTAATGTTGAAATGTTGAATATGTTGGAAGGAATAGGTCCTTTGAAGTAATTACTGGATAAGTCTAATTTACCAAGTTTATCAAGACCACCTATCCCTCTGGGTACAAAACCTGGACAAAAAAATTGATGGATGAATAACATTCTCACAAAAAAAGCTACTAGGGAAAAATGGAGATATAATAGTTGATATGTTTTATATACAATATGTATGGAATAAAAGAATACATCATTTTATATATACAATATAAACCAATACATATTCTAATAAGATCCGCAATGGTGTACAAAAGACTACTGTTTTCTGCAAACTTAATTTGATGTATTTAATATCATAATATGACCATGTCCTGATTTAGTTAATTTATTAGAAATTTTTTTAATGATTTGAAATTTAAGTATTGAGGTCGGAGGAGTTCTTTTCATATATGCGTATTGAATGATTTTTGTTCGAAAATGATATAACAGCCCCCCTAACAAATATATACTACGCTATCTATGATGGCAAAAAAGAAATACTACTATATACTATGCTATCCGTGTCTTAAATTTTAATGTTACACAAAAAAACATTTAGTATAAATAATATTTCCCCCGCTAATTGATTAAAAGTAGTTAAAAAACTAAGTCTCCGAATATTAAAGTTTTATGCTGATCATTATTTGTTTTCATATTAGCACATTTAATTGAACATGATAAACAAACTTTCAAAATAAATAAATAAGTAATAGATATAAAAGGATACTAGTCAATGAGTTTCTACCAAAATATATGTGTCAAATATGTACATTAACTCATTAATTTTTCAATTTTAATTTATAAAATTAAAATCTCTAAGCGTGTGTGTAAAAAAAATAAAACACGTGGGCACATTAAATGCGATATGGAGCTTTTTCATTGATCAAAGTACCCAAAAAAAAAAGTTCGCATCCTACTAATTCCAAACACTAAATTATTAGAAAGGGAAAAAGTCGCTATCAAAACAAAAAAAAAAAAAAGAAAGGGAAAAACTGAATTTCTTATAACCATCAAATTGAATCATATAAAAAAAAGGTTCTCTCTCCTTGTGAGAGTTAGTTATGATGGTTATCATCGCGTTCGTAACTTCTTGTTCTGTCATTGATTACAGCTATGAAGGAGGTTCTTTAGAGTGTCATCCATCCCCCACTGTAGCGTAGGTGAAAAGAGTGGCTTCTCAGTATTTCTCTGTTAGAGAGAAGTGTGGTGAGGAACAAATGATCGGAGGAATGAGGTCGATTGAGGTTGGAGAAAGCTCGAGAGAAACAAAGTTGAAAGAGAATAAGATGACTCCTGAGGTTGATTTGGTGTGTAGGAAGAAAGAAGAGAGAAGGTTTGGGGGTGGTGCTCTAATTGGAAGAATGATTACAGAGAAGAATATGAATGTTGTTGTGGTAATCTAGATGATCAGAAAGGAGTGGAATCTAGAAAAGAAAGGGGATCTGGAAATTGTAGAGATGGATTAGAAAACTTTTGTGTTTGAATTTAGATATCGAGAAGATTATAGAAGAATTCTATGAGGGAGGCCATGGTCAATTAATGGATGGCTCTTGTATATTCAAAAGTGGGAGGAAGATATGGTAGGTAGTGAGGTGAACTTTGACTTGTGCCCCTTTTGGATCCAATTTTAGAACCTTCCATTGTCGGTGATAGATGTTGAAAATGCCATTAGACTTGGCTCGAGGATTGGAGAGGTGGTTCTTGTGGAGGATCTAAGTGTGATGGTCTGTTAACTAGGAGTTTTCTTCGTGCTTGAGTGCTTGTGGGTTTAAAGAAATCTCTAGACTTAAAGAGACCTCTAGTTACTGGACTTTGTGCTCTACCACCTGATAAGCATCTTATATCGATCAAGGTGAGATATGAAAGATTGCAGAATTTGTGCTTTGCTTGTGGGAGACTGGGGTATGACATCCAAAGCTGTATGTACAAGGACAACAAAGAGACTGGCTCTACAAAGTATGGAAATTGGTTGGGAGTACAGGCTGCTAGAAAGATGGATGAGTTAGTAGTTATCTATAAGGATAGTTAGGAAGAAGTGGACTGTATAAAGTTAAGAAAGACGAATGATAAAGGCAAACAGATTGAATTACCTTGGAAGGAAGATAAGGTAAATAAAGAAAAGAACACAGGTGATAAGAAGACTGAGCAGGTGGATTTGAGCAGTAACACGGTTGCTAAGAAGAATAAGAAGGAAGAGGTTATTGTAGGAACTAGTGGACATCAGGAGGCTAGGTCAATTTCAATTAAAAAAAGGAGTGAAGGAGGTTGTAATTTATAGGTCTGAGGAGAAGGAAGAGAAAGCTTTGTCTCTACCTAAGAAAGGCAGCAATATGTCTAAGGCAATAGTATTATATGGGAGTGTATCTCCTGTGTCAAAGATGGTAACAGGTTTGAGGAAGATTGGGTTGAAAAGGCCATTGATGGAGGAAGAGGAGAGGTCAGATGTTAAGAGAATATGACCCGGATCGTATACTATATTGCATTAATTTGTTTTATTTTGAAGGGGACTTAAGGTGACTAACAATTCATTCTTCACAAGGAAGTTTCATTATTGTCTCACTATTTTTTTTATGAGGATGCTTTATTTTTTGTGAATGCAAGGAAGCAAAATTGTTAAGTGTTGAAAGGCATATTAGATTGCTACTAAATTTTGACAGTCCTGTTTATTTTTTTTGAAGACTACAACTGAGGATGTTAAGAAGGAAGTATATGAGGTTTTGAGGATTCAAGCAAGTGATAATCCTAGTAAATATCTGGGAATGCCAATGATATGGGGAAAGTTGAAGTTAGAGGCTCTTTTGTTTGTTTAAAAAAAAAAAGCTTAGTTTGAAATTACAGGGATAGAAACAGAAGTTTCTGACATTTGTAGGGAGGGAAGTGATGATTAAGGCAGTAGGAACTGTAATACCTGTGCTTCCTATGTTTTGTTTCAGATTTCCAAAGAAGGTTTGTGTTGAATTAGATGGTATGATGCCAAGGTTCTGATGGGGTCAAAGGGAAAAAGAAGGTAGAATATACTGGAAATCTTGGAAATCACTGAGCTTCACAAAAAGTGAAGGTGGAATGGGTTTCAGGAATCTAGAGTTGTTTAATAAAGCTCTCCTTGCTAAGACTGCATGGAGGTTGGCTCAAAATCCAGATGCTTTGTGGTGTAGGATTTTGAAGGGTTTGTATTTCGTGGATATTGATTTTTTTGCAGGCAAAGCAACGTTGTAGATCTTCTTGGGGCTAGTCCAACATCTTATAAGGAAGAGATTTAATAAATAAGGATCTCTATTGGAGAGTAGGGACTGGAAATAGGATCAGAAATTTTGTTGACAATTGGATTATTCCCGAATCTAATGGGTATGCATTGGCTTCCAGATATTTGGATGAAGAAAATGAGTTTGATTGTCAAGAGCTTAATCAGAAATAATTCTTGGTGTTTTGAAGGAATGGAAGATTGGTTCTGTGATGAAGATAAAGCTCTCATTAACTTTATTAATATTCCTGGATCAAATTTGGTAGACAAGTGTCTTTGGATGATGAGTGGAGATTCTAATTACTCTGTGAAGTTGGGTAATAGGGTAGCTTTGGCCTTTGGGCAGAGAAGATGGTAGAAGATTAAGAGATCCAAGAGGCTCCTATAAGATATCTGAACAGCTGTGAAATCAATTGTGGAAGCTGAAGATTCCACCCAAAGTAGGTCATTTTATGTGGAGAGTAGTGAATGGAGCTTTGACCATCAAGGAAGGTCTTTTTAGAAGAAAACTTGGAAAGCTAGGTGTAGGCATATTTTTGAAGGTGCTGAGGTGGATGCTATCAGATGTGTAGCAAGGTTGTTGAGGCTAGTTAGTGATTATGATGAGGCTCAAAGACAAAAGGGGAGACATAAGATGGAGGGCAATGGTATTGAAAGAGCGAGGATTTGGAGGGCACCTGAGAATGCAACAATCAAGTTGAATGTGGATGCTTCTTTCAAGTTATTTGATATGGCTGCTTCTTTAGGGTTGGTGGGAAGAGGTGAGAATGGTGTGTTTGTTGGTGGTTTGGGAATGAAGGTTAAGGCATATTCAGCTCTTATTGCAGAAACCTTGGTAATCTTGGAAGCTTTATATTGCAGTGAGAGGTGGGAAGGAAAGAAGGTGATAGTTGAAATTGATTGTCAAGGGCTATTTCATAGATTGAGAGCTTCTAAATTCAAGGGATGTGATTGGAGCTGTGAAGATGTCATGCTAAACTGTTATTCAAAGTTGAGATTGTTGCAGAATTGATCTTTGTCTTTGGTTTCTCGTAAGGGCAATAGAGCTGCTGATTGTTTAGCAGCATAGGTTTTAAAAGGAGTAGTACCACAAGGATGGTTTTCTGAACCACTACCTTTTTGGTGCATATTCTGCAGCATGATTTTGAGCTTTCTAAGTGTGACTCTTTAACTGGGGCTGAGATTGGCTAACTACTTGAAGTAATTAAGAGATAGATAAAATCTCTAAAAAAATAGGACATACAAAAGTACATACCGGTAAATGAGTTAATATTCAAATATAATTCTTTTAAAATCTTATTGACTGTGCAAAATTGGTCTGTTTTTGGTTTCTTACAAGGGCAGTAGAGCTACTGATTATTTAGCAGCAGAGATTTTGAAAGGAGTGGTATCACAAGGATGGTTTTCTGAACCACCCTTTCTGTTTCATATTCTGCAGCATGATCTTCAGCTTTCTAATTGTGACTCTTTATCTAGGACTGGTATTGGCTAACTACTTGTATGCTAGGATTTTTTTTGAGTGTTTGCTTTAGCTTCGTCTATTAGTTATTTGCGCATTGCCAATAAATCATGTGTTGCCTATAGCATTAAACTACTTATTCAGCAGTTTATCCCTCCAGGAAATTAATATGTGAAAAACTCGAAAAGCTTTACTTAATTTCACAACGTGCAGACCGATTCTTCTATTTGTTGAACAATTAAAATATCTCATATTATTCTTCATCAGTTTGAGTTGTATTTAAATTTTTATTTGATTTCTATATTATAATTTGTAATTGATTTTTATATCTATTTAGAAAAAATCTTTTGTTTTATTTCAAATTTTTAATTCATATGCTGTAATTTTTTTGTTGGGAAAAATGTCAATATAATTTTAATTTTAATTAAAAGATAGAGTTGTTACCGCGTGTTCGTGTGTGTATAGAAAAGAAGAAATTATCAAATATTACACAAAAATTATCGAATATTATTAAAAATGGTATGTTTAAGAATAATTCTAAAACTTACGTTAAATATATTAAAAAGAATTTCAAGTAATACTCACTTCAACCAAAAGAGTAAAATGTACCAAGAAATTATTTTTCATTTGCTCAAGTCTTTGTAAAATTTAGAAATGAAAAAACTTAAGAAAATCATAAATTACACTTGAGGTGAAATGACTAGTATTTCTTTTGAAAAATAAAATTTTTGTACTGTTAATTATTGAATAAGCATTTAATATGAAATGAACGAATTTGAAAAATGAAAAATTGAAAAAGAAGCATAACACATGAAAAAAAATGTACTCTATAGGGGAAAAAAACATAAAATTAAAGTTGCTAGGAAACAGATAAAACCTGGAAAAAAGGACCGGCATATAAGAAGCATGTATGTTGCATTTAAATTTAGTTGGTCAAGCATTTTATGAGTTACATTTATTGTATAATTTGTAATTGATCTTTTATACATATCTAAATAATTTTTGTTTATTATACATTTTTTAATTACTACGGTGCAATTTTTTAAAAATATTATAAATTTAATTTCAATTAGACAATGTTGAATCGTTACAATTTATATATATGATAAATAAGTAAAACCAACTCCAAACTGATCTGAAAAAATAAAATTAAAGTAAGTAAGAGACAGAAAAAATCTTGATAAAAAAGTATTGGATGGCTTGGAGTTTTGCCATCAAATAGTATATGTGAGGATTTCGTTTTTCTGTGTCACAAATTTCCGGACGTCCATCTGTTCATGATTGGGATTTTAGGAAATAAACAAAATCTCATTTGAGAGAAAAATATTAAAAAGAAAAGAAAACACATTAGTAAATACATACCTGAAAATGAATTGTCATCCAAATATAATTCCTTCAAAGATGTGCAGTTACTTATTGATTGTGGAATGCTTCCCTCTAATT